GTATAGTGTAAACATAACTTCAATGGGCATGGAGAAACCAAAAAACTGTATGATTCACTTTATTGCAATATTCACTATATTTCAGTGCCCTGGAACCAAACCCAAGGGCAGAAGAGACAAATCTCACATGCACAAATATTTCAAATAAATTATATAGATGCTTGTTATGGACTTAATGGTGTTCCTTCAAAATTCATATGTGAAAGCTATAACTCTCAATATGATTATGGAGCTAGAGTCTTTAAGAGGAAACTAAGGTTAAATGAGGTCATAGGGGCATTAACCCAATAGGACCTGGGTCTTATAAGTCTTATAAGAAGAGAAAGAAATCAGCAGAAATCATTCTCTCCCTCCCTCCCCCACCCCTCTCTCTCTCTCTTTCTCTCTCTCACAACATGCCCACAGAAAAGAGGCTATGTGAAGACACAGCAAGAAGGTGCCTGTGTATAAATGAGGAAGAGAAGTCTCACCACAAACCAACTCTTCTAGTACCCTGGACCTCTAGCTTCCATAACTGTGAGAAAGAAATTTTCTGTTGTTTAAGCCACCAGTCTGTAATATTTTATTATGGAAGGCTAAGTAGACTACTACAAACTTAGCTACAAACGTGGTGGCTACTATAATAATATGAAAGTGGCTTTAACACTGGATGATGGGTAGAGGCTAGAAGAGTTTTGAGGTGCATGCTAGAAAAAGCCTAGGTTGCCTTGAAAGGGCTGTTGGTAGAAATATGGATGTAAAAGATTATTCTGCTGAGGCCTTTGAAAGAAGAGAGCTGTAGAGAAAGCTTCTGTCATCTTGGAGAGCACATATATTACAACTAAATGGAATGTTGGTAGAAATACAAACATTAAAGATGCTTCTGGTGAAATCTCAGATGAAATTTAAAAATGTTATTGGAAACTGGAGGAAAGGCTATTCTTATTTATTTTTTAAATCCTCACCTGAGGATATATTTTTATTGATTTAGAAAGAGAGGAGGAAGAGGAGGAGGAGGAGGAGGAGGAGGAGAAAGAGGAGAGAGAGAGAAACATCGGCCAGTTGCCTCCTGTACAGACGATCAAGCCACGAACTAGGTATGTGCCCTGACTGAGAATTGAACCCACAATCTTTTGGTGTATGGGAGGACGCTAAGCCACCTGTCCAGGATAGAAAGGCTATTCTTGTTTAAGAATGGGAAAGAACCCAGCCATGTGGCTCAGTGGTTGAGTGTCGACCTATGAATCAGGAGGTCACAGATTCTTGATCAGGGCACCTGCCCACATTGTGAGCTCAATCCCTAGTGTGGGGCATGCAGGAGGCAGCAGATCAATGATTCTCTCTCATCATTGATGTTTCTATATCTCTCTCCCTCTCCCTTCCTCTCTAAAATCAATAAAAATATATTTTTAAAAAAGAACGGCAAAGAATTTGCTGAATTGTGTTCTAATATTTGGGGGAAGTAAAATTTGTGAGTGAAAAGCTTGGATATTTAGCAGAGCAGATTTCTAAACAAAGCGTTAAAGATACAACCTGGTTTATCCTTGTTGCTTATAGTAAAATGCAAGATGAAAGAGATAAATTGAAAAAAGTGTTATACAAAAAAGTACCAGAACTTGAAGATCTGGAAAATTCTTACCCTGTCTATATTGTAAAAGATGAGAAAGCATGTTCTGGAGAGAACATCAAGGATGTAGCTAGACATTTATTTCATAAATAAATTCCCTGATAGATCAACCAAAGGACTTGTATGCATGCATATAAGCATAATCAATGGACTCAGACACCAGGGTTTGAGGGCATGAGCGGGAGGAAGGGGGTAATGGGGGGATAAGGACACATATGTAATACCTTAATAAAGAAAGAAAAAAAATGTAAAAAAAAATTCCCAATGGATTTAATCAGCCATTTCAGCTGAAGTAAGGAATTGAAATAAGATTATACCAGCAAAAATATTGCCAGTTGGTGAGGATGTGGAGAAAAAGGAACCCTCGTGCACTGCTGGTGGGAAAGCAGACTGGTGCAGCCACTGTGGAAAACAGTATGAAGTTTCCTCAAAAAATTAAATATGGAATTGCCATTTGACCCAGTGATCCCACTTCTAGGAATATATCCTAAGAAACCTGA